CCGGTGAATAAGATAGGTGTGGCAAATTTCATATTTTAATTTATTTAAAAAATCGGGCTAATAGTGATGAAAATACGTTTAATTGATCAAGCTTATTTTGCTTGGTTAATTAGTGCTGTATCCACTTAACCATTTTGTTCATCTTGCCAATTTCAGAAAGATGTCGTAATATTGTTGTATGGTCAATTTTCATTCTAGAAGCAAGTACCCTTGTAGATAAAGTTGGATTCGTTTCCACTAATGTTTTCAGAGCATCATTTTTTACAGACGTCTTGGGTCTTCTTTTAAAGAGAAAATTCAGGAGACCAAAGTTTTTCAAAGCAACGATGCACTTATCGATCGTTAACAGTATTCTCTCCAAACGCCTGGTTTATATTGCGTGCAAATTTTGCAGCATTATTATCAAGTTTATACTCATACATAAAAATTACACGAATATCGGTTGAATTTATATACTCACAAAATTTAAAAAAAAATTAAAAAATTGAACACTTTAGAGAAAATCTGCTTCATTGAAATGTGACTCTGGCAATGGACAGTACGACCATAAACAAAATTATACCAGAAACAAAAAAATAACGAAAACAGGGAGAAAAACGTTCACATGTAAATAAAATCCGACATTTCATATGCATCAACCTAATACATTATTTATATAAATAATAATAATGTTATAATAATGAACAATAATCGAGATTATCTTGAAATAATTTATTATCAATTTTGTCGTAAGAATTGATTGTATTTTTATAACTATGCACGAATCTCTTCGTAATCGATAACAATTAGGAATAGAAATTTTGTTCTATCGATTTTCTACAAAAATAGCAAAATACTTTGACTTTGGGGATGACTTTGGTGGCTTCTTTGAGGAAATGTTTGAAAGCTGGCCTTAATAAGAACTCCAATTCCTTGAGTTAAGTAACGAGCTGGCCCTTTCCTTTAGATAATCTCGAAAGATGGGAAAGAAAAAGTTGAAGAAAAGGGATAGCTAATGAATTGATTATTTATCTGACTCTGTACAAGTTCGTAGTTCTTCGATAAAAGATAACAAGATAATCAATTCAATACGATCTTCAATCGACATCATTTATTTATATATATAAATGAAATAATCATTAATACATCAAATTCATAATATTAATTTTCTAGGTTTTTCCTTTAAAAAAAATATTTCATGGTATGAAAATATTTCATGGAAAAACAATTGGCACGCATGGTTACGCGCATTAATCAATCGAATATTAATTAATAACAAATGATGCATATATTAAATTATTTTTAGGATAACCACGTTGATTAATTTTCAATTAATTACGTTGACAATGAAATCGTCATCTTGAGTAATTTGTTTTATCTTTTATCGCGTTAAACCGAATTGTTTGATCTTGATCTGAACTTATTTTCTCATTTTCCCCGCTTCTTTTTTATTTTTTTTTTTTTTTTTTATACTTTCCCTCTTATTTTCTTTCTTAAGAGATTGAACGAAAATCACAAAGTGGGGATTAACCTGACAAAGTTAATAATTCTTTTAAGAATCGCGTATCAACTCATGCGGAATATTACATTTGTCGTTTGGTGTCTGAACAGAAAATTACTTTCCATCTTTATGACCCCAGGAGGAAATAACGGAGTCCCTGAAAAAACAAGTTGAGGGGTTGGCCGACGTGGCTGGAATAGAAGTGTCGAGAGGTGAACTTTGGCTATTCTAGAATTTCTCATTTTCTTTGCAGGAAATAAGGAAGGAAAAAAGGACAAACGGAAGTGAACCACCACAACAAGAATACGGTCTGATCATATCGATTTTTTTTTACTTATTTAATATAGATAAGTAAATAACATATAAATACATATTTACAATTAAAAAACTACACATGTTAAGTTTAAGGGGTTTACACCGGGGAAAAATAGCATATTTTCAACAATTTTTTTTTCTATATAAAAAATGGAATTYTTATTCAAACTTTTTATAGTATTTAAGATACATATTTGAAGAACATTTTCTGAATTTTTGGTTGAAAAATATTTTAAACTCAGCTATTGCGACGTCATTTCCGGTGACCCCACCGAAAAAAAGTGTTTTCGCGTTGACAGCAGAACTTATAAASGGTGGGRGTTTTTCTGTTGAAAAAATAGGGTCTTTTAGTGAATACTTAAAACTAGAAACTGGACGAAGGAAAAAGAAAAATATTAAAATTTGGATTTTTGGCAACGTTTTTNTGTGTGTGTGTGTGTGTATATGCAGACGCGCGTGTATTTCAAGCCAGTTTTCTCGAGGATATAATAAATTTTCTTTCCCGTATTATCAAACATTCTCTTCCCTTTTTTCTTCTTTATCTTCTTTTTCCTTTTCTCAATCGTTTTTTTTCGGGAAGGTTACAGAAAGATAAGTAGCAAAGAAATGTTCTTTTTTCTTACGCGGATTTTTGTACCTTCCGAAAAAAGGGGGTTGTGTGCTTTTTTTTCTTCTTTTCTTTTCTTTTTCTCGCTTTACGGTCTACCAAATTTTCCGGCAAGATTTTTCGTGCTGTGATATTATGGTAACCACTGTGCGTAGAAAAAGAATACGGTTAATAAAAGCTGGGAACACAAACGGGTCTGTTACTTCCGTTTCCGCTTTTGCTTTTGTTTCTGTTCTTACTTTTGCTGCTTTTGCTTTTACCGGTTCTACTGCTGTTAGTGACGTTTAACATAAGCGTAACGAAACTTACTCTTTTCTACTCGTTATGTCAAAAATTATTTCTATCTCTGAAGAAAAAGAAAAAGAGAGAGAGAGAGAGAGAGAGAGAGAGACGATGACGTATGTGACACGGTTTTTTTATTCTATTTTTCATCCCCCCCTCCTCTTCCCATTTTTGACAAATTTATCGTTCTTATTCAGTTTCTACCTGGAGAATAATTTGTATGAGAAAAATACGAATGGAAAAATCAAGTATGAAGAAGAAGTATTATAAGAAAAAAAAAGAAGAGAGAGAGAGAGTTTCGATAACGCATTAGTCGTGAATTTAGACACGTAGATAGATTTATCTTCTTTTTCTAGCTTTCAACAAAATCATTCATTTCTTTGACACATTTGTGCCTTAGCAAAACGCGTTTTACCTGTTCGTAGGGATATATTGATTTGTTGGTTGAATAAATGAAAACCATTGTGGAAATGATATTACCGTTACCCATTTTCACGATTTACTATGAAACTTAACGGGGGAACATAATTCATCTATTTCGATTGTAATCTTTTCGGTAATG